GAAATTTAAGAAACTCTATTAAGGCTTCAATCAATCATTTTTCTTTTTATTCTTTACTTTCTTCTCTCCCCCCACCCCTTCTTCTTCCTCCTTCTCCATCCAGATTTAGAATGTTCCCTTTTGAATATAACCACCCGACTTCAGCTGCAACTTTTTTCTTAAGAATGATGCATGTAAAGAGAAAAAATAGATCAGTAGCATATGTGGAACAAGATTTCTAACACAGACATTGAGCAGCAGGAACATTTGCCTTGGTTGCCAAGTGCAGGGAGAGTAGCATTGAGAATAAAAGGACTTGGAAGAATAAAACCCAAGGAGATGCTTGTAAGGTTTTGAAACAGATCCTTTGCAGGCTCAAAAAAGAATCCCCAAACATCTTGTTTTCTGCATCTCCCATTGCCCACTCTCTTTCTTACACACATTCTGGCACAATGGCAAAGTGGGGTGTAGGTAGAAGCAACAGCAGGAGATACAGCTACTGAGAATGAAACAGGCTATTCAGGCAGAAGGTCTCCACAGTTTGAGCTCTCAACAAAGGAAGATAAATATAAGAAGAGAAAGAAAGTGTTCGAGGGTACTTTGGATATACAGAAACCAAGGGCTAGCTGAACCACAGAGAATCCATGTTTGAACAGAATGTAACCTCTTTGCAGACTGGCCCAGCAAATAACCTTTTCTAGTGATTATGATGGATACTCAGCTTAATGAACCATATGATGAATATTCAAGTCTAATGAAGCACATGCTGTCCATCTGAACACAAAAGTGCATGGAAAGTGCAGCAGCATGCTAAATGGACTAAAACAATGATATGCCAAAAAACAGGGAAAGATCAAAGTATGACCGATGGATTAAAAAAAAAGAGAGTTGGGACCTGAGCATCTGTAATCAAGAACTGTCCAAGAACAGTTAGACACCTCCCCAAATTGTCTTTTAAATTATAAGATTCTTCCATCACAACACTGATGAAAGCCAGCTGGTCAGAGCCCATTACTTTTAGTTTATAAAGTAGGAAACAGTTATCTATGTATGTGCAGTATTTTGCTTGCTGCTTGCTGCCAGCTACTTCTCTTGTTAACTTTCCTGCACTATTTTCTATCTTTCTGGAATGAAGGAATTATAAGACAACATTTGCCATTTATCTGATTACTACTTTAGATAACCTCTCTGCTTACATTAGTTAGGAAAATCATGTTGACCAGTGACATGTACCTCTAATGCTGAAATTGAGAAATGTACTAAAGGAATAACTGATACAAGCTGTGATTCAACAAACATATGCAATTCTTGTACTCTGTTGCTTTCTATGGTGATTGCATCCACTGGGAACAAAGATCCTGAGAGACTGAGAAAAAGTTCTGTATTTTCCCCCTCCTAAGAAAAAGTGCTGTATCTGGCATTTCACATCCTCTAAGGCAATTTGTGCTGATCGTTCAATGTTTTCTCATATTATGTTAATGGTCACTTATCATATTTATTATCTCCAATATTCTTCATGACATGATGGTACAATATGTAATGGACATTACTGCTGTTAGATAGATTCACAACTAGTGTAAGCAACTCAACTGGTACCCATTAATACCTTTGCACTGACAGAGGCCTCATGTGGAGTAGCACAGGACACAGTTGAATGTCCTGTGCTGGTCAACATTTTTATAGATAACTTGGATAAAACTAGAGATGACACAAAGCTTGAAGAAACTGCTAATTCCTCAGACAACATGGTTCTGCCAGCGGGCTTGGGGACCCCAGGTTGATATGGAGCCAATCAAGTGGTTGATTTGATTGTGTTTGTAGCCACCATAGGGGTGGGGGGATTGCTGGGCTTTTTGTGTTGTGGATTTTAATTCTCTAAGCCACCCAGAGTCACTGTGTGAGAGTTGGGCGGCCATATGAGCTTGTTTAATAATAAATAAATAATAACTATGGGATCCAGAGGCCACATGTTTTGAGAGGCTGATAGCCATAGAGATGGGGTGATGACACAAAGTGGACAGGTTTCTATTTTATATGTGGGTGGGCTAGGGTTTTCTAATGAAGTAATGTTATATTCTCTTGAGAAAATCTTTATTTTGCTGAGGAAAAATAAAATGAGGACCTGTAGCTATGTATTTACTGGGTTGTCGTCCCCACAGCATGTTTTTAAAAATAAAAAAGGATTCTGCCGTTGAAACCTAGTATATTATTGGTGCTGAGCCCTTTGCTAGTAGCTCCTTAGCTGTCAGTCTTTTAGCCCTCAACACTAGCCTTCAGTATTTTAAGGATTGTTTTAAATGTCTAAGAAAATATAGTAAGTGATTTTGGATTTAACTGCAGGAAAATCTGTCCTGGGAAAGTTTTGCTTCTGAAAATAAACACCAGATAAGACTGAGCTTTGAAGGTTAACTAAAGAACCAGAATGCAATTAAAGGAAAATATATCTTTTAACACAATGGGGGAGTATCACTCTTTCAAAGAAGAATTGTTAGCTGTTTGGAATCAGTGTGTCCAGGAACTATTTCTGAAATTGGGATTAACAGAAGTTGTAGAAGAAGAAAAGTTTTCATTGGATAAAATAAAAGTTGAGGATGACTTGAATAAAGACTTTAAAATGGACTTTAAAGAAATACCAGATTATAAGAGAGATATGGAAGATATGGAAAAAGATGCTGTGGATCTAAGATGGATGCAAAGTTGCTTGATTCTGAGAATGATATGGAGGCAGAAGCTGTAATGGATTAGAAGAGTGACTCTGAGAGTTACCCTGTTTTGGTCCCACAGAACAGAAACACCAAATCTTTTCTGAAAACAGACAGGAAGAGAATGATAAGAGATTACTGTAATCTGGGGTTTTATTTGGAGAAGAGACTGAAGACCAAGCCTTTCAAAAAGAAGAGGAAGGAATTCAAAGTGGACTTATCAGATCAGGGTTAAATTATCTAAGTTTTGATCTTGGATTGTTAATATTTGTTGATCTTGGATCTTTTTCTGACCAGGACTGTAAGATGATTTGTACCTGTAAACCTGTAATTTATTTGGTTTAGTTTAAAATATATATGTTATTATTATTGGTCTTTTGTATGCTTAAGGGAAGAGATCTTTTAGGTTTTACTTTTTAGAACAAAAATAGAAGTTAAAATGCAAAATAGACTTATTTGTTTAAGCTTAAAATATATAGTTTATTATCACTGGTACTCTTAATGCTTTTGCTGATTATATTGATTGTTGAATTTTTTTTATAATTTGGTTATTGTTTAGGGATGAGAAGGGGGTTGAAGAGGGCTTTTTCAGTAATATTAGAGAAGGTGTTAAGTTACTGTTAATGCGTATACTTGTTTGGAGGGAGGGGGAAGTCATCTTTTATATTTCTTTCTTTCTCTTCTTTCTTTCTTTCCTTTTTTCCTTTCTGTTTGTAAGTCTTTTAGTTTTGTATTAGTTTATATATATATAAACTTTAATAAAAATATTATTTAAAAAAAAACACTAGCCTTCAGTGCACCACTGAACACAAACATATATGAGTCAGCCAGCAGATTGTATATACCTTGAAGGAAAGCTGGATTTTCCCTAATAATTTACCTTTGAAATAAGAGCATCATACTAGAATAATATGAACTATATTTTATTTTATTTAAATTTAAAATGCAAATCCAATTTAAATTCAACTGATTTTTCTTTTGTACTGACCCCATCCACTTCTCCTGTCTACTTTTGAAGTGCCAATGGATGTATGCCATCCAAGGGCCACTACAGCCCCTGACTATAGCTTCTGGGTTCACATGCGTGTATAATCCCCAATTTGTAAGTGTGGTGCATGCATATATGTATATTTTGGGAATATTTGTGTGTGAGTATATACACAAATTGAGTTCAAAACCTAGTAATCTTAGGCAGTCTAAGTGTTGAATGGTTCTACTACATCCATCAAGGAAAGGAAAGGGGAGTGGGAAAATGGGAAATACTGATATGGGTTATAAAACCATTGTCTGGCCTCATTCACTGGGCAGAGAAAGAGGCAGTTCATTACCTCCCACAGCAGGATCCAAATAAACAGCGTAATTTGCTTTAGAAAGGGTCAAAAGAAACAGTTCTTATGTGAAGGGGGGGAAAAAAACAAGATGTTCCCTTCTCAGCAGGGTTCAGTTAAGCAAATCAAATTATCACCTAACACTTTACTTGAACAAGTCAAGTTTTTGAAGTTCCAATCTGTGCCATGGGACTATGTCTACCAGCATTTTCATTCAATATCATGTGTGTACACACTCACCCGAGCCTTGCCTATTTTGGATTTAATGTAATGTAAAATATGCAAAAATAGGCTATACAGTGCTTTTTTTGCTTTAATTATATGCACTATAATACCACTGGACAATGGATGAAGAATGTATACTGCATTTTAAAGTTCAATAGAGACATGTTTTGACTAGAAATTGGGCATGAAATGTTTCATAGTATTGTCGAAGGCTTTCACAGCCGGCATAC